GTGGGGACCCTGGGTGGGATGGGATGGGACCCCTGCCCCGGAGGGGACGACAGGCGTGGGGCAGGCGACCGCCGCGGCATCTCTCACCTCCTGGATTTTCCCATAACGTTCCCGTTTCCGCCACTTGGCCCGTCGGTTCTGGAACCAGACCTGGGGGCGATGGAGGAGGGGGGCTGAGGCACAGGGACCCCTGCCCACCCGGAGCGACCCTGGGTGGGATGGGATGGGACCCCTGCCCCGGAGGGGACGACAGGCGTGGGGCAGGCGACCGCCGCGGCATCTCTCACCTCCTGGATTTTCCCATAACGTTCCCGTTTCCGCCACTTGGCCCGTCGGTTCTGGAACCAGACCTGGGGGCGATGGAGGAGGGGGGCTGAGGCACAGGGACCCCTGCCCACCCGGAGCGAGATGGACAGCCCTCTGCCCAGGTCCACGCTCATCTTCCCAGCAGGAAAAGAGCCCCAGCACCCCAGTAAACTGGAGGGGAAGGGAGGAAGCCGCCCCTGTGTGCAGCCCCGTTTGAGCTCAGCAGCCTCTTTCTCTCTCAAGAGCAGAAATATCTCTTATCCCTCTTGGAAAATAAACAGCCCTGCTCTGTGCACGGTCCTTTTCTCCCCCTTGTGCTTCTCGGCCTCGTTTCCCCCAGGTTTCGATGGAGAATGAGGCTTTTTGGGTCCTTGAGGGTCATGAAGACCCACCTCTACGTCCTCTCTGCGCTGCTGGATGGGGTCGAGGACCAGAGCTGGCTGGGGCACTGATGGCTCCAGCAGCATCCCCCGGAGAGGAGGACATGATACTGGGATACTCACACCGGGACTCTTGTGGTTACAGGTGATTTTATCTAAATCCACCCCAAATCAGGGCCCAGAAGCTGTGGCGGGTGCAGGCTTGGGGTGCCCATACCCTGCCTGTGTGTTGTACCCGACTCCTGCCCCACGGGCAAGGCAGCACCCAGAACTCTGTGGTTTGAGGCACCCAGTACCCGCTGGGTGCCCTCTGCTCGCTGCGTTACCCACCCACCTTCGCTTTTCTCCCTCCTGGTGCCCCCTCCACCCACCTCTTCCCACCAGGAGCCTCAACCCACACGGAGATGCCTCTGGAAGGAGCTCACTGGCCTGGCACAAGCACGATGCCAGCGGAACCAGGGTGATGAGGGAGGGTCTCATCCTGCCCCACGTCCCAGAACGTGCCCCCCCAAGCCCCATCCGTGCTGAGCTCCCGGGGATCCCTCTCCTGGGATGGCAGCTCCGTCACTGCTAGTGCTGGGCTGGAGGGATGGTGGGTGCATGAGGGGGAGCATGTTAGGGGGTGCTGGTGGGGGCAGGTTGGCAGTGACCTCCCGAATTTTGGCTCTTCCCACCCCTTGGGTGCTGTAGAGAAGGGGAGAACTGGAGAGAGCTCAGAGAGGGAACTGGCATCTGCACCCCGTGGTGGTGGGTGAAGCGAGCGCCTGGGCTGGGATTTCCCCTCGGGGGTTTAGCATCATCCTCCCGGGAGAAAACCAGCTTCTAACTCAGCCGAGGAGGGGAGGATATCCTCCAACTCGGCCTGGCACCACCCGGGGTGGCCGTGCCCACCCCTACGGGAGCCAGGGACCCGCGCCCCTACCTGCACCCTGGCTTCGGTCAGGTCCGTCCGTAGCGCCAGCTGCTCCCGGGCGTAGACGTCGGGGTAATGTGTCTTCTGGAAGACCTTCTCCAGCTCCTCCAGCTGGAAGGTGCTGAAGGTCGTCCTGTTCCTCCGCTTCTTGTTCCTACTCTTGCCCAGGGGCTCGGGGAGCTCGGGGACCCCGTGTTCCCGCAGGCTGCTCAGGGGGGCTGCCAGGGGGCACCCTGGCTCTCCCGGGGCTTTCCCGGGGGCCCGGCAGGCTGCGGGCATCACCTGGTACCCACCTTTGCACCCCTTCTCGTCACCTGGCAGGGGGAGAGGCACAAGACGGGGTGGTGTTAACGGAGCTAGTGAAGCCGTGAGCTCCCCGTGCCCCCAGGCCCAACCCTCCCCTCCCACCCCTGCATGGCTCCAGGCACCCCGGGGGGAGGTTGGGGTACAGTGCCAGGAGAAAGGGACTCGGCACAGGCACACAGCGGGTCAAATCCATCACTGAGGAGGGCAAAATCCCCCCTCACTGGGGGAGCTGTGGGCAGGCAACGCTCCCCGAGGGAGCAGCGGGTCCTTGGGGACCCTCAGCTGGGGGTCCCGCTCAGGGACCCTCTCGGATGCTGCTACTAAGGGGTGGGTGAGGGGGGGGCAGAGGAGGCGAGCGCAGGGTCGTCTTGCAGACAGGGCTTTACCCAACTCTCCTCGTCCTTCTCCTCCCGCTCCCTTCCAGCACCAGTTGGTGCCTCTGCTCACCTGCGCCTGGGGCAGAGCCATCGGGTCCACCAGTAACCCCAGCCCACCCCAGCACTGGGCCATATCCAGAACCCCGTGCTTGAGCTCAGTTCAACGGGAGCATCTGCCTGCCCCCCGGCCGGCATTTTGCTGTAGCTGTAACTCGGGAAACTGTTCGGAAAGGAGTGAAAAGTAAAAAAAAAAACCTTTTTGCTTGAGAAGAGCTCCCCTGCACCAGCCTCCTGCAGGGCTGGGGGGCCAGAGCAAGAAATTTGGGGGTTCCCCACCCTTCCTTTCACTGCTGCTGCATCTCTGGGGTGCCTGGTGAAATGAGTTCAGGGAGATAAGCTGCTGCCACGTGTTTTGGAGGTCAACTTTGTCCCCCAGGAGGATTGTTTGTCCCCACAGAGGGACACACAGAGCTCAGCAGCTCAGTGCCACCGGGACCCTGAAGAGCTGAACTGGTGACAGGAGAACCAAGGGGGGACTTAGCGGATGGGGGGGATGTCTTAGGGACCCCAGCAGCCAGGGGGGACACAGGGGCTTCACCCTGGATAGAGACAACCTGAAAATGCTGATTTCTTTTTTTTTTTTTTTTGCCCTGATTTCACCCCCAACCCCGAGCACCATCTCCAGAGACTCGAGCTGGCTGCAGGTGGAGACCTCTGGTCCCTCCGGAGGGGCAGGATCAGGCCCACGGCTGGGCCTTGGGCACAGCTCCGCGCTCAGGGCCGGCGAGGGGGGAAATCGCCTCCTTCGGGATGGATCCTCCTTCCCGGCCCGTTACCCACCACGTCCCGGTGGAGCGAGGAAACAGGGTCCCCATCCCTGCGAACCCACCGGGGGCTCCGCACCCCCTAAACCAGCCCCTGCCGCGGCCTTTTCC